TGATCAATATCCTACTTGCGTTTATCCTGGTATGCACAATCTTTTACCCCCACTCATATACATTTTGCTTCTGGTCTTGATCCCAGGTCCTAACTCCCAATTAACACCCCCCAGCCCCTCTTTTCAACCGTTCATTAAAAAAAAAAGGGGCAAAACTCAAGTTAATTATAGCCATTCAATTCACATCAATTAGATTGCTATATTTCGGTAACTTCCCATAACCCTATGAGCCTTAATGGCGCTGTCCAATGATATAGGAAATGTTCAATTTTCTTGTCTGCTTTGAACGAGTCAACTAGAGCAGGGGCTGGAAAAGTGCCATTAGACATATTCAATTCAGCCTTGGGGTCAAGCCGTTCATCTTTCTTTCTTGTGTTACACATTTATAACGTAGAACCAAAACTTTAATCAAGATTAGTGAACCTGATAAGGTGATCCTATTAAGTCCTAGGCATAGCATAAATTAATGATATACTTTTGCTTACTTGAGCAAGTTGATCACATGCTAGTACTCCAATTACTGCATAGTCCTAGGTCCGAGTGAAATTAACTCAGGCGAACTTGATTTACTATGTATTAGAGATGAATTAATGTTACATTTTGAGAGGCACCAGGTCACGAGTTGTTCAACGCAATCTGTTTCCTGTATGAACAAAAGAGAAGTTAGTTGAATTGAGAAAGAATACTATCCTGGAGTGGGATTTGGAAGGATGAGATACCCTGTGGATGATCATGCCAGTTTCTTGAAGAAGTAGATAGCATATTGGATAAGACTTAAGAGAGATAAGGGGACAGAGTGTGAATGTGAGTGATCTTAGCAGAGCCTCCTTGGTGGGCCCCCATGTATACGAGGAACTGGGTCTTCTTCTAGCCGTTGCTGATGTCTTCCCCTTCCATTTTGTCTCCTATTTATCTCCTATATATACACGTAATTTGCCTCCTCGTGTGGCCGTGCTCCTTGGTTCGGCCTCTTGGGCTTGTCTTCTTTGGCCCATAGGGCTAGAGGCAACAACAATTAAAGGAAAAGTAACTCTGAGAATGGAATAAATTAGAAAATAGGGTAGCGGTCAGAATTCATAGTGGTTATGGTCATTTATTCACAATCATGGTAAATCATTAGACCAATAAATAGTCAAGTTGGAGAACAAGTCCTCCCCAATTTTCTTTATTTCTTTCTCACTTATTTGGGTTTGTATGGTACATATTTTTTTTATTTTTTGTGAATTTTTTTAGAATGAGACTATAAGAAAAGGGGATGACCTTATACCCTCCTACTCCAGTACTGTTATCTAGCTGTCGATGGTCAGAATTGCCTGTCTTACTGTTTGTCATTAATGGAATAGACTTAACGGTACAAGGGTGACTAAATTCTGATAGAAAGGGTCGGAAGTTCAAGGAAAATTAAAGTTACTAGGGTAAAGAGTGGTTGTTAATAGTAAAAATTAAAGACAAAAGAACTTCTTTTATGTGAAATTGAACCAACTAGTTTGAAGTAAGACCTGGTCGTCGAGACTTCTTATTTGCAGATGAAGGATCAACCAACAAATAAAGAATTAATTAGCGTTTTGATTTAGATAATTAGATCCATTTCTGCTAGTATACATTAATTAATTTCTCCTTGCAAATTTTAGAATAGGTTCAAACTTGTCCCTAGTCTTAGAAGTATCGGCTAATCTTTCTCACATTCATCATTCATGGGTTTGCTGGTTTTCCGTTTTATTTATCCAAAATCTGAATTGTGTCCTTTCAATATATAGAATGCTGAATTTTTACACGGCTTCAACGAAAGTATTTGTCTGCTATTGTCGTGATCGTCCACATCTAATTAAATGCGAACCTGGTATTTCTATTCCAATTTAACTCATTTGCATCATTTTCCTAACCCTCCTTAGTTTTGAAGTCAAGCCTAGTAACTAGTCAATTTAACTAAAAAGATGCTATTGAATCCTTGTTCTTCATAATCCGAAATGCGGAGTCTATGAAATTTGTTGATATCTTGACATATGGTCGGTCCCGAAGGTATTCACAATTAAAATTCAAAGAAAAACGAAAAAAGAGAAAAACTTAAGTTTAAAAGCTAGTCAGGACACTTCATTTTAATTTGATCTCTAAAATTAGGTCATTCAGACCTTTTGAGCATTAGTAATCAAATGATAACAAGGGTTTTTGCTTCTTCTTCTTTTTTTTTTTTTATAAAAAATTTAAAAAATAAAATGTGAAAATTGAGATCGTAAAATGCTAATTATTACTGGTTATGATAAGTAACCTTATCTCTAGTCCACGCTTATTATTCTTTGGAGAAGCCTCCACGAAGCTGCACCTTTAATTAGGTGGGACACACTTTATACCATTTTCCATAAATATAATGTTCTTAGTATATACAGATATACTAGCCAAAATGTTAAATGCTCCGTTGGCAAGGTTTCTTCTTTGAGATCTAACGAATTTCAAGAAATATATCTATATATATATATATATATATATATAGATATAAATGTGGCTGCATGCCTTAACATAACTAGCTGATGGTTCGATAGACGGTGAAAATTTTTCAGAAATTACTGAGGAGAAATCTAAATTTCTTAAATTAGAGGATGAAAATAATAAATTTATAAAAGACACACATATCTCCACTTATACTGGTAAAATAGTTTGATGTGATTTGCAATTAATTAATTTATTAAAGCAACCCCTTTTTTTTTTTTTGGTTGCAGGCGGCAAAGGTTTCAGTCTTGGAGTAAAGCTCGCCGTAGGTATGATACCATGAACTGATTTTCTGCCCTTTCCTTTTTCTTTGCTTTCTTGATTATTGATAGTTCAAAATAGGTATAAATTGTGGATAAAGAAAGAGGCGTTACCAAAATTTCAATTTCCTTTTATACATTTTTGTTACCAAACATTACTATTAAATTACGTATCATCCCAAATGCTTAAAAGTCCCCTTAAAGCTCCTTCAACTTGGGCATATTGCCATTTGAAATGGCTTTTGCCTTATAACCTTTCCACCATCAAGTTATCAATACTTTGAAGCTTGGTTTCTTGCAACAATATCATCTTCGGTTTCAATATGGCAATCAAATTCCTTGTTGCCTTTCCTTTTTTAGGTTCCCCTATGCCTTTAAATTCCAAGTCACAATCATTATGAGTAAAAATAATCTACTCGTAGAGGAACATTAGAAACATATCTCACTGGACTTAATTGGCTTTCTTAACTTGGTTTTCTTTCTCCGGCTCCGCGAACCTCTCCACCATCTTGTTTTAATCTTATTGAAATTTGAGTCTTACTTTCTGATGGAGCCTTCAAGTCTCCTTAACCCCTAATACTATGAGCTTGTTCTTGTGTGCTATATTCCTCTTCCTTACGAATTCCTCAAAGAGGCTTTGCCAAGTATTTTTTATCCCATCGAAGATATCTCTTCTTTCTTTTCGCAATTTCCTTTTTATTCTTCTTGGCGGTGTCTCTACATCTATACGGTGATCATCTCCATTAGGGTCTTCAAGTTCACCTTCACCTACCATACTTGCTCTTAAATTAGCATACTTAAGTTTTCATTCAATGGGTACCACCAACATGACATGCCTTACTTGAACTATTGCTACCCATGCCTTTACTACTACGCATTCCCCTCACATTTTTCTTTACACTTCTTATTGCCATCCTTCCTCTCTCTTTCTTCTTTTTACCATCTCCCCCTTTTGCATGCATTTTTTCCAATCTCTCTGTTACTTCCCAATTTACTATGACCTTCCTCACCCAATTTAGAGTTGTCGCTACTTACCCGATTCCTCTCACTAGTTTTACAAGTCTTTCATTCTTAACCATCATCTAACATATGCCAACTTCTCGACAGCATCTCCTTCAATTAGGGGTGTGCAAGGGTCAGTTTCGGGTCGGTTTTTCGTCAAAACCGACCAAATATTTTTGAGATTATAACCGACCGAACCGCAATGATATAAAATCGGTTTCGGTTGATTTTTAGAAGGTCGATTTCTGGGGGAATCGGGACTCGTGGGACTGTGGGAGGGGGGGTAGGGGGAATCGGACTAGTGGGAGGGGGTTGGGGGGAATCGGGTCGGGAGTCGGGATTCGTGGGAGGGGGGGGTAGGGGGAATCGGGACTCGTGGGAGGGGGGTTGAGGGGAATCGGGTCAGGAGTCGGGATTCGTGGGAGGGGGGCCGGGAGAATCAGGTCTGGTCCGTCTGGAGTCGGGACTAGTGGGAGGGGGGCCGGGCGGCTGGGGAATCAGGTGAGTCGGGACTCGTGGGAGGGGGGATTTCGTTAGGTCGGCGGGTGGAGGGGAGGGGGGGCGGGTCGGGGGAAATAGTGAAGTGCTGCCGGGGTAGCTGGGCGGGGACCCATGGGGACCTTGCCCAAAAGAAAAGGTTCAATTTTTTCGGTCGGTTCGAGGGGAAAGGATTCCCCCCGACGACCGAGTCGATCAGCCGACGAGACCGATCGGCACAACCGACGGTTGCAAAAACAACCGTCGGTTACAATAACCGACGGTTGCGGTCGGTTGGGCGGTTCCAACCGACCGTTGCCCAGTCCTACCTTCAATAGGAGTTAACCTTTACTACTTTCTAATTCCAATCCCAAATCTTCATTGATAGCTTGACCTTTTTTGATTTTCAAACCCCCCACCATTGAGAAGCCTCTAATTCCTTCTTTTTCTTTCCTTAGGCTTAGGTTACCTGTTAGTGGACTCATTTCTAGTTCTTCTGGTGTAAGCCTTTGTTGGGTGTTTTCTTAAGCCTTGGGCTTTGAATCTACAATCATCAGATCATAACCCAAATTGCACACTTATTATACATTTCCAATCTTAAGCCTGATCTCTCTCGATTGTAACCCAAGCATGTTGGGCCTCAATAGAGCCAATATAGTCAGAGTAGTTATTTAAGCCTAACTCCAATTCCCGTTCCCCTCCTAATTGCTTTTATTTAAAAATAATGGTAAAACGTCTAATGCTATTGTCTTCTGTCTCCTCACCAGACAGTCATGTCTCCCATTTCGTCAAAGCTACACTTAGTCGTATTAATATCATCACTGTTCCATCCCATTGGGCTTAACACCTCCGATAAGTCACCTATTTTCTATTCTATTTGTCATCCTCCATAGATGTACATCTACACTTTGTTGTCCTCAACAATGATTCTCAGATTAATAATATGCTCATTAAGTTTCATAATAATTATCTTTGAGATGGCTACTTTTTTATTGATTTCAACTTGAATTCGAGCTTAATTGAATCTTTCCATTTTTTTAGTTGCTTTATCAACTTCGATCAACTTCCTCCACTTACTGACCATTAATATGAATAACTATTCTCCCTAAATATGTGACAGAATGTTAATGACCCAAATCTATATTTTCAGTATAATGCATGTTTTTTATATCAATTGAAGAAATGTGTGATAGTATGGCCTTAATAAATCAACCCATAGTAGAAAAATCCCTAGGTACCTTCTTAACAAGACCTTCATCTCTTCTTACTCCCCGATAATTAGTAACATGTCAAGATCGCCAAGTGTTCGGATAAGCATAGAGACCCCTTTTTAGAATAACCTGGACCGTGCCACCTACAGCTAAATGTTTCTCTTATGTATTCGATTGCACTTCGATTAAGCCAATCTCTTTGTTTCATTGGATATTCGATCTCCCATAAACTTTTTGTTCCATCACAAGCAAAACATTCCATCTCCTTTTCCTTTTTATTCTTTAACGATACTGCCTTAGGTTCCCCTGATTTGATGCTCTTCTCTTGTTCCACCTTTGAATCATGTATCAAGACTTCTCACTAGGTCTTCCCATTATTAGTGGACCAAAGGATGTCTTTTTAGTCCTTAAGAACTACCCATCCACCAATAACCCATTGCCATGAGATATCGCCCTCTTTAACTCATCTTCATATTGGTACCTAACAAAAGCGAAGATCGACTTTCTCTTTCTCTACTTGGCGTTCCCTTTAAGAATATGCAAACTGATCACCTTCCCGTAATTTTCAAAGGCTTTCTTGAGTTTTCGCCACTTTGTCATCGTACTCATATTGTCCAAGTACGTGGTAAAAAGCTTTTTCTTACAACAAAAGTCTTAAAACTACAATCCATAATAACAGTAATAATAAAATATAAATATCTAAGTTTAATGCATAATAATTAAATTCTTCCCAAGACAAACTCTTCGCAATGCTCATTTTTTAATATTCATAAAAATTTTAATAAAAGAGTGAGCTCACAGCCAAACAAGTAACATGATTTAACTAACTAGATCAAGTATATGAAACAGTACTTTAAAATCATAATTCTCAATTCTCAATATTTCGTTAATAAATCACAATTAAATCAACAATTCAAAAGTAGTATGATTTAAAAACATTTCAAAAGAATCATTTCATTCTCTTCTGACTATATCACAATCAACAATAGTAGTCCAAAATTCAGAATAACAATCCGTTAGTGGTTTAAATTTCAAGTATATGCCACTAGTAGAACTCCCTAAGACATAGGTACACTATGAAATCATCTAAGAATGTCAACACACAAATCAATTTCATTTCCAAATTATGCTCACAATGTTTAAAATCTAAAATATTTTTATTTTTGTGCTTGACCAAATTTGAGAAAATGATTATATTTGCTCAAAACAACTGAACATTCAATCAACATAATAAAAGGTTTTATAAAAATAGTTATTAAATTATAAAAAATTATAAATATATATATAATTTTAAAATAATTAAAAAGGTCCAACCACTTACTTGATTAGTACCATGCAGAACCACACAAATGATTTTCCAATGCATAATGCACCATAATTTTAATGTTTAACATTAGTAAGTATTAACAATGATAACACACCAAATAACTTAGTGCACAACCATTCTACCCTTTAGCCAAACCTAAACACCTTGAGAGGAATGTTGAAATTATTTAAAAGTAGTTTTCTCAATTTTTTATAAGTTTCAATATTTTGAAATTACACTTGAAAATATCAAATTAAAGAGAATGTTATTAAACATCTCTTACCACTATCGATATTCATGACAATCTATATTTTTTGAAATTTTATCAAGATTTTATCAAATTTGATATTTTATTTATAAAATTATAAATAATATATAAATAAAAATACTAATATCTTACAAAAAAATTAATAATTTTATGCATAATAAGGTTAGCTGATATTTAGTTCCATTAGCATAATTAGGTCCAAAATTTAAACAAGTTAAGCTGAATTATATATATTCATTTTGTGGGTTGATAGCTGATATTCTTTATGCCATGGTTATAATGAAAAGTTTTCAACAAGGCATTTATGCTTTTCACCCCTTGACTTGAATTTTGCTCTTGGCAATTTTAGTTATTGCAGGAATTTGTCTATTGATCACCTGTATCATTGCAATCTGTTTCAAATACATAAAAATAATGGGCTATCTCAAGAAGTTCAAAAACATTAGGACAATGGGCTTTCTCAAGAAGTTCACAAAGAGTGATCTAGATATCGAGGGTTTCTTAAAAAATAATGCAACTTTAGCTCCCAAAAGATACAGTTATTCAGATGTCAAGAAAATGACGAACTTGTTCAAAGAAACACTAGGGAAAGGTGGCTATGGAAGTGTGTACAAAGGGAAGCTACTAGATGGCCATCTCGTTGCTGTGAAATTGCTTAATACATCCAAAGGAAACGGTCAAGAATTCATTAATGAGGTTGCAAGCATTAGTCGAACTTCCCATGTTAATGTTGTTACCCTTCGAGGATTTTGTTTAGAAGGCAACAAAAGAGCTCTGATTTATGAGTTCATGGCCAATGGATCTTTAGAAAGATTCATTTACAAAGAGAATACTAATTTAAAAGATCATCAACACTTGACATCAGAAGATTTGTACCGAATTGCAATTGGAATAGCCCGAGGGCTTGAGTACTTACATCGAGGGTGCAACACAAGGATTTTGCATTTCGACATAAAACCTCATAACATTCTTCTAGATGAAAATTTTTGCCCAAAAATCTCTGATTTTGGGCTTGCAAAACTATCAAACAGGAAAGAGAGTATTGTATCAATGGCAGAAGCTAGAGGAACAATTGGTTACATTGCTCCAGAAGTGTTTTGCAGAAACATTGGAGGTGTTTCACATAAATCAGATGTCTATAGCTATGGAATGATGATCTTAGAGATGGTTGGAGGAAGAAGGAGCATAAATGTCATGGTAAGTCAAACCAGTGAGATATATTTTCCTCATTGGATTTATCAGCGTCTTGAGCAAGGTAATATCGAACCAGAATTACTAGGCCTCATGACTAGAGAAGAAACTGAGATTGCGAGGAAAATGATATTAGTTGGCTTGTGGTGCATACAAACAAATCCACTAGATAGGCCTTCAATGACTGAGGTGATCGACATGTTGGAAGGAAGCATAGAAGCCTTGCAGATTCCACCTAAGCCTTACTTGTCTTCTCCTCCAAGATCAACCATAGTGGATTCTACCTCTTTATCATTACTGTGATACATGCAATTTCAAAATATGTAATATATGTACTTATTTTGACATTTTTTTTTCTCAAAACAAGACAATTGTATTAATAAAATGGCTTTAAAAACCTCACAATTCAAATTCTTGAACTAGTGCAAAAAATGTTCAGCTAAGAACACCTAGTGAAGCACCTTATGCACATAAGGTTTTGGAAGGTAACAGGGATGACACATCCTTCCAAAAATAATCTCAGGAGCAACAAAGGAAGGATGTATATACAAATAAAACTGCCCTATACAAAAAGAGACCAAAGAAAAACAGCCATTGCAACATCATGGAGCAACATAAACATCCAAAAAAGACCTACCAGTAGCTTATAATAGTCATGAAAAAAACGTGTCAGCAACTCATTAGAGTAAAAGAACTTACCACTGACACTTTCTGCAATGGTAGAAACTAAGATTGATGTAGCCATAGCCTATCATTTATGTAAAAATCAACATTTACATGTCCATGGATAAAATGCTCCCTTGATCATTAGTATTTCTTGACAAACCGCCTAATAGTCAAGGAACATTACCAACTAGCATCATCCACAAGGATAAATGCCTATCATAGGGGCAAAAACAATAGAATATTTTTCATAGAGGAGAGACAACACCGCAGCTAGCATGAAAATAGCTACAACACCAATCTTGAGGGGGTAAAATTAGCAGCTCCCTTTCCATGGTGGAAGAGTTCACCATGCATAAGATCATAAAATCAAGCAGTAGAATCTGGAACTCTATCATCAACAAGTATTAAACATGGAACTTCGATCAACTCCCATTTTTTCCAAAGAATTTGTGAAGAAGTTTAGCTCCTTAAAGATATATAGGAAGCTGTAACTTGTCAATATTAGAAAATACCCTTCACAGTGCCCATGGCCTATTATCTAGTTTAAATATCCAATAAAAAGCAACACAAAAATATAATTCTGTCACTAAAGGTTTAAGTCAACCCAAGAAGATGAGGCAAAAAATTATAATGCATTTTTAATAGCATAAATTTATGCATGATTAGACTCAAGCTCCCCTAAAGGGCCAAAGAAAAGACCTGATATAGTACTCTTACTATCTTTAAGAACAACCCCCAATAAACCCCTAGCCTTGGTTGTCCTCTAATTGAACCATCCACCTTGAATTTTAATCCACCCTTTCTATAGGGGATCCGTTCCACCCCTCTCCTAGGTTCCTTAGTGACTATTGGTCTGGTTAGATATATTGGGCATAGACCACCAACCAATTGCGTCCACTCCTCCTTCAATCTCAATGGCTTTAATCAAAATTTTGTTTTCATTTTAATCATAAAGATCGCTACTTCTTTCTTTAATTTCTTGCCATTAAAATCAAGTCATCTCTAGCCAACCGAAATGACCATTGTGGCACTTACCACTAAAATCCATCTCTTATGAAGACCTTTAGATACAAGATCCTCGCAAAATAAATTCACATATGATATAAACATTGTTAATACCCATTTGAATCCCCATCAATCAATGACATTGCACCAAACCTCAAAAAACAAAAAAAAAAAGCCAACGAAGTAGGATGTGGTGGCACTCATCCTCCATAAGACCATGCCAAGCACACATAAGATTCTCTTAATAGAATTAAATGCCCCTAACCTTCAAAAAACTTTTCGTAGGGATGCTCTCCAAGACCATTAGCCGTAAGAAGCATTGAACTTCTGGAGAAACCATGGACTCTCAAATGGACGAGAACTACATACCATTGCCATCTTGATGTGAATTCCCTTTTAATAGTTTCATTACTTTTTTTATTGAGAATTGCCCTCTATTGTCTACTTCCCAAATAAGAAGGTTTTCCTTGTTTCCATTAAAGAACACACCTTGAAAAGCTTATCAAAGTTCTTAAAGGCTCTCCAACTCCTGGTCAAAAAGAGAGCGCGTAAAATCAAAATCCAATTCACTGTTTCCCAACCAAGCCTCCTTCACTTTGGCATTCTTCTCTCTCACAATGTGAGAAGCCCAGGGAAGATTTCCTTCAAGGGGAAGTGTGATATCTATTCATTTTTTCAAAACAAAATCCTATTTCTAGTCCCCATGACTCATCTACAACTCTCCTTACCTATCACCTTTTCAACTCCTTCAAGGTCTAGGAGGTATACAATGTTTCTCTGTACATTGGACAAGGGGCGGAGCGTCCCTTTATGATGGGAAGCCATGGCCCCTCCAAAGTTTTTGAAATTTTTTGTATATTATATATTTTTTAATAATTTTTAAAAATAATTTTCATTAAATAATTAATATAATTAAAAAATA